AAGTAAAATTACCCTATATACAGCAGAATTCACATGACTCTCATAACTCAAACCAGTATCAATAATTACACCAAGACATCTAAGTCTATCAACAAACTCAATTATTATACCATTAAAGTCAACTGAAAAGTTATAACTGCTATTTTTACCAAAAAACATTGCCTTAGTCTTATCTATATTGACAACAAGACGATTATCAAGTAACCCAATTCAAAAGCAATCCAACAGTAAAATCAATCATAATCTGCAAAACATCAGGAAATTCCGCAATACCCTTAAACAATAACTGAACATCATCCGCAAAAATAAATGGAAGACACATATTACTCGATACCATATCAAAAAGATCATTCATGAACATAATAAAAACAAGTAAGAAGTTATAGTCGGGCGAGGCCGACCATATAATACCCTACACCTTTGACAAAAATGTAATGTGATTTAGTTGCCATAATAAAGCATTTAAGTTGAATTGTACCTTACCTTAGATATACATACTTAAGACGTTTATTGTTGAATAAAATTGTGGACATTTAAGTGAAATTTTGATGGGGGCTTTTCATAGGGGCTAGGGTCATATGAGAACCTATTATTATGGAATTCATGGGGGTCATCAAGTCTTGTATACAACTTGGTTTTTGCAGCTTTTTGTCGAGATATAATTATGAACTTAAAAGCCCTATTCGGCGGGTTCAGTTGTATGGGGGCTAGGTGAAATAATGGACCGATGTAAACCATTTTCAACAGGCTTCATCTACGGTACCATAAAAGATCATGTTCCAAATTTCATTGAATTATCTCCAAAATTGCGACCTGTAGTTTGATTACAAGTTTTAAGAGCCCTATTCGGGGGTTCAGTTGTATGGGGGCTAGGTGAAATAATGGACCGATGGTAACCATTTTCAATAGGCTTCGTCTACGGTACTATAAAAGATCATGTGCCAAATTTCATTGAATTATCTTCCAAATTGAGACCTGTAGTTTGATTACAAGGATTACAAGCCCTATTCGGGGGCTCAGTTGTATGGGGGCTAGGTGAAATAATGGACCAATATTAACCATTTTCAATAGGCTTCGTCCCTGGGCCAATAGAAGATCATGTGCCAAATTTCATTGAATTATCTTCAAAATTGCGACCTGTAGTTTGATTACAAGGTTTACATGGACGGACAGACGGACGGACATAGCTAAATCGACTCAGAAAATGATTCTAAGCCGATTGGTATACTTTAAGGTGGGTATAGGACCAATATTATTGTGCGTTACAAACATCAGCACAAATCCAATATACCCTCCCCACTAAAGTGGTGTAGGGTATAAGTAGTGGCCCCAGAACAGATCCCTGCGGAACTCCACTATAAACTGGAAGCGTTCTGGAAGCATGACCATTACAAAAAACATATTGCATTCTATTAGATAGATATGAATAAATCAACCTACAAGCCATAAAATCGATGCAACTTTTCAATTAAAAGCAAATGATTTACCCTAGCAAAATCTAAAGATAATAAAACACAAATACCATTGTCAGAGAGTTTACTCCTAATGTTGTCAGTTAGACCAAGAAGCAAAGACGTGGTACTCCTATTACATCTAAAGCCCGATTGACAATCATGAAGCAGTCGATTATCATCAATATGCTTAACAAGTTGAATCTTCATAAGATGTTCAACCATTTTAGATAAAATTGGCAATATTGATATAGGTCTAAATACATCACGACCAATTAAAACACTACTCTTCCTTATAGGAACAATCTTTCCAACCTTCCACAACAAAGGAAAAGTTGAAGTGGTTAAAATTGTATTAACCAAACGTAATATATAATTACCAGCAATTGGCATTAGCAGTCTGAGAAATTTGAGCGTAAATCGGTCATGACCAACAGCAGTTGATTTTATCAGATCAAAAGCATCAAACATCTCAAAAACATCTACCGAACGAAAAGAAAATTCATCATATGGAAAATTGGAAAAATCTAAAAAGCCTTCACAATCAACAGACTGATTAGAGGAGAAAGCTTCATTTAATTCATTTGGATCAACACCATTAATATGATCAGTACCATCCACAACTCCATTCTTATTCAATATAGCCTAAATATTCTTACTGTCCCCATCCTTGAACAATAAACCATGAGCCTCTCTCTTATATTTTCTAATAATTGACTTCGCCCTATTTCTAGTCCAACAGAACATTTTCCAATTAGTCTCAGTCCTATTGTTCAAATATGCTCTGTAAACAAGATCTCTAACTGACAGACAATAACCTCAGGCGCATTAATCCACTCATCACTAAAACCAAAGTTAGTCTCCTGGTTCCATTAAACCAACAATGCGATTCATTACCGCCTGGAACATCGCAGGGACATTTACGAGACCAAATGGCATACGGTTATACTCATAATGACCATCAGTTGTCACGAACTCTGTATATTTGCGCGATGCCTCTTCTATTTCAATTTGATGGTAGCCCATCCGCAGGTCGAGGGTTGTGTAATAACGATTTCCAGCGAGTTGGGCGAAATGTTCTTCGATTACTGGCATTGGGTGAGGTATCTTAACAGTAACATTATTCAGTTGTCGGTAGTCAATACATAACCAGTGTCCCCATTCCTCTTCTCCACTAGCATAGGACTTACAGTCCTATTAAGGAAAAATGAGGCGAACAATTTTCTATGGGATGAGGCTCAACAACAAGCGTTTACCAAATTGGTGGAAGTACATTGTGGAAAACCCGTACTGGCAATTTACGATATAGAGGCCAAGCTGAGGTCCATACGGATGCCAGCAGTTTAGGTCTAGGAGTTCTTCTTCATTCAAGTGAAAATGGTAAATGCCAGTGCGATGTTTATTTCAGCCGACATTGTTCCGAAACCGAGGCGAAGTATCATAGTTATGAATTAGTGGTATTGGTCGTGGTGGAAACCCTAGAACGTTTTCGCATTTACTTGCTGGCCAAACCGTTTCGCGTGGTGACTGGCTGTGCGGCAATCACAAGAGTGAAATCGAACAAAGAACTCCAGTCGAAGGTATCTCGATGGTTATTGAAATTGTTAGAAATTAATTGTGATGCTATAAGCAGATCACCAGATTTACCTTCAGTAGAACCAGAGCCAACCGGTTTTGTTATGAACGTGAATGTTGATGGTGAAAATTGGTTATATACTATGCAGTTAAAGGATGAAAAGTTTAATCATATAATAGGCGTTCTACTAGCATACTACCAGCTAGCCTACCGCAACATTTTGTTATAGTATAAAATTATGATTTCAATATAAGTAAAGCTAAAAGGATACAACACTCGTTGAAGCGGCAACGCTTTTCAAACTTTTGCGCTTTAAAAACTGCAAGTTAACCACCAAGCTTAATTTTGATCTTAAGCTGGAGGTCCACACCACACGTTTTACGCTTTATACGCTTCTCTCAATCAAGTGGAATCAATCTCTACCAAATTTATTGAAGATCGGTCCATAAATGACCCTACCCGTATATAGTGTCCTTCAGAAAATTACTCTAACGATCATTGCTTTAAAAAATACGTGTACAGTTATGAAATTTGATATAAGAAACTTAAATCATAATGTAAATCTTCCTACCGAATTTCATGCGGAAAGTGTCGGTAACTCACCCTACCCATATAAGCATCCCTTCAGAAAATTACTTTAACGCTAATTACTTTAAATGCGAGTACATACAGCGATGGTATTCGATGTAAACAAGTTTTATATGAACCTAAATTGGTCTAAAAAATTTTATGAAAAATGGTCAATAATTCACCCTACCTCTCAAATAAGGTCAGCTAATTTGATGAATGATATTACCCTGATGTTTATGGGGAGAATTCCTTTAGCGGCACAACCGAATATAACAGTCTCACTTGTTTTAATGTGTATCTATCAATTTTAATAAATTAAAACGAGTTTAATGGTGAACAATAAATAAAAGCTGCAGAAAAACGCGAAGTTTCTTAAAAATGTTTAAATCCTACTTTATTTTCAATATTTTTTTTATGTGTCGCTCAATTTCTGTTCATGCATTGTGGGTTTTAGGAGTTATTTGGTTGTGTTATGGTTGTATATTCTTGAAATTGTTGGTGAATTGTCGTGGTGTTTTATTTGACATATTAGTGACTGAATCAATATTTGGTTTTAGGCATTTTGTTGAGGCGTCAAAAATATAATAATTTGGAGTTTAATTTGCAGACATTGATTTGGTGAATGGAATAGGTTTATTTTTCTTGCAGATATCTTTTCTCTTGAATTCTTGTCATATTTTGTTATTGTTGTTCTTCTGATTACAATGTTTGAATGTTGAACTTGGTTTTAGATATTCACTTTTTTGGTGACTTTGTTTTCTATGTTGGGTATTCATTCCTATTATCTTGTATAACTGAGGGTGATTTTTTTTTAAATATTTTACAATTCTTTTTATTATTTTTTTTTTGTATTTGTACGAATTAAATAAAAAATTAATAAATAAATAAATAATTAAATACATAAAAAATTATTATTTTTTTATTTTTAATTTCTTGTTATATGAATATATTTTTTATGTATACCTATTTTTTAAATAGAAACTGTAACCGATTATGGCCAATAGGCTAGGTTTAATATGAAAATAAATTAAATTAAAAATAAAACAAAAAAATTGGCGCTTAAAAAGCGTTGCATGTAACTTGGAGCGTAGAATGCGAAGTAGTAGGTATGAAGAGCACGCAATGCTTTGACGCGAATATGCGTCAAAATTTTAAATTCTTGAATTTTTTAATATATGTATATTTAAATTTATTTTATTTTATTCAACGCGTGTTTTGCACTTCCGCCTTAAATGCGATAATAAATATTCAACCAAAGCCAAAAAATAATCCGCACGGATTAACATTAATAACATCTGCTTTCTATATGACACATTTAGATGTAATGATTTTTTATTGAATTACAATATATTCAAACATCTTAAAATCATTTAAATTCTTTTTTTTTATTTCTATTTTTTTAGCTCTACAACCAGCTCATCATCCAGCTTGCAATGATAACAATTCAGTAACAAATTTAAATTTCCAACGTGAAGGTGGCTTATCGCCAACCAGTAATCAATTAGCCCAATGGTTTTCGCCAGAATTACTAGCACAGGCATCAGCAGGAAAACTGCCATTATTAAATATGAATCAGGCACTAAGTTTAGAAGAATTTGAAAGAAGCATACAACATTCCTCAACTGCTGTAAACAATTGAATATAAATATTTACTTTAAATACTACCTATATTATTAAATTTATGTAATTGTAAACCATATGTATGTATGATGTTAAAAGATCGATTATTATTATTATTGATAAACTATTATGATGTACGTACTCAATTAAAAAAGGAAACACAAGTTTTATACAAAATATGTTTTAGTAAAAAAAATGTCAAGACGTTCGTCCGTTAATTAATTTATTTTACCAAGCATCCTCCAACATAATTATGTTTGTATTATATACATGTAACAGATCGTTTTATAGAAACTTTTACTTAGAGTTAATGTCTAAAGATCCGACCATCTACATATTTCCAAGTTTAAACAAATTAATATACTTTTGCTGTTTAAATTAATATCAATTGTAAACAACTTGCTAAGTGTTTCTTCTGAACGTGAAATTAAAAGATTAAATATTTTGTGTCTTCAGAGTGAAGGGATGATATATTGACTCAAATTTAAAAAAAAATAATAATAAAACATTAAGGGAAACGATAATATTTTTTGGAAGTTATTTTGTAATTTATTTTTATGGTCTATATCTTTTGGAAATCAACATTATCTTGAAGAATTACACAAAAAGTTCCTCAGTAATGTCGACATAAAAACACTCTCCTACAAAATAATTCGACTAATATCCTAGATGAATAATTTTTGTAGTTTTATAAAAATATGCTAAAGGTAAAGCATATTCTAATATATAATTTGGTTACAGTTTCCAACAAGAAACAATTTTCTTGAAATTTGTAGCCATTTAATTTATTTTTTCTTGAAAGTTTCTTATTAAAGTATAAGTACAATTTTGAACAGACCTCATTTTGGAAAGTAATACAAAATAACTATCTGTATTAAATAACAATACAGTCGTCCAAAGAGTGTCTTAGTGTAAATGGACGTTATGACACTTTAATAAATGAATCCAAGATACACCAGGAGAAAAGTGATACTCTCTTAAATCCTTAACAAATTGTGTAATACATTTACATATGTTTTAAAAGTGTTATAAAGTCCATGGACATTATGACAGGGAAAATATCGACTGTTTTCAGTTTTTGCAAAATGTTTCCATTAAATAATTACATTTACTTTTTATTTTAGAAAAATATAAAACAAAACAAGTTAGAGTGCTATATTCGGCTATGCAGAATCTTAAATACCCTCTACCAGCAAGCTACTTTTTATTAAAACTCATTTAAATATCTAATTTTCAGTATTGAGGGTACTAACATTTATGCATATGTCTAACTTATTTTAATAAGGTCGAGAAAAATGTATATTAATTCCGTAGAATGATTTATATATACAAAATACACATTTATGTCGAATTTTATCCCGATAACTTTGATTGTCAATGTGCATTTCAGCAATTTTCGATAATGGTCCTTATATGGGAATTGTGACCAATTATCGACCGATAAGGAAAAAATTTCGTATAAAGATTTATATGCCAAAAAAAATTCAATTCGAATTTTACTATAATAGATTTACTAATTAATGAAATATGTGCGTTTAGGTAATTTTCGAAAGTGCTTTATATGTATATGAGCTATGACCTTACACAAAACATATTTTTGTCGAATTTTATCAAGATATCTTTATTTGATAATGAAATATGTGCGCTTAAGTGGTTTTTTTGAAGTGGACCTTATATAGGAGCTATTACCATATATGGACCAATCCGGAAAAATTTCGAAGAGTGTTTCATATAAAGACAAAACATATTTGTGCCGTATTTTATCTAGATAACTTTATTTAACAATTAAATATGTAAGTTTAAGTGATTTTCGGAAGTGGGACATATATGGGAGATATGACCAAGAATGGACCAATCCGGGAAAAAAGTGGTAAAATGATTTATATGCACACAAAATATATTCAAGTCGAATTTTATCCCTATAGTTTTAGAATTTAATGAATGCGTTTAAGTGATTTTCGGAAGTGGACTTTATATGGGAGTTATGACCTACTATGAGCCTTTCCGGAAAAAAATTAAGTGATTTTCGGAAGTGGGGTTTATATGGGAGCTATGACCAATATTGGACCGATCCGTAAAAAATTTTGTGGAATGATTTGAATGTACACAAAACATATATGTCGAATTTTATCCCAATAGCTTTAGAATTCAATGAAATATATGCGTTTAAGTGATTTTCGGAAGTGGACCTTATATGGGAGCTATGACCAATTATAGGCCCATCCGGAAAAAATTTTGTAGTGTAATTCATATTTAGACAAAATATATTTATGCCGAATTTCATCACGATAGCTTTAGTTGTCAATGAAATATGTGTTTTTAAGTGATTTTCGGAAGTGGGCCTTATATAGACAGATCCGTAAACAAATTTGTAGAATGATTTGTATGTATACAACACATACTTGTGTCGAATTGTATCCCGATAGCTTTATTTGACAATGAAATATATGCATTTAAGTGATTTTCGGAAGTGGGCCTTATATGGGAACTATGACCAATAATGGACCGATTCGTAAAAAAATTTGTAGAATGATTCATATTTAGACAAAATATATTTGTATCGAATTTTATTCCGATAGCTTTATAATTCAATGAAATATATTAGTTTAAGTGATTTTCGTAAGTGGACCAATTGTGGACCGACTGAGATCTACGTTGACTGTATGATTTCTGTTCATATTATATTTGCATGTACAAAATTTTGTGTTGATACCGATATATTTGAGGGAGTTATTAACGATAAACTAATTTTCGGGAATATACACCTTTGTATGGGGGCTATGGGAAATATTCTATCGATTGTAAAGATCTTGAACATAATTGATCACTGGCCTAAAAAAATAATGTGTGACAAAATTCGTCGAAATATCTTTGGCAGTTTCTGAGAAAACTTCAAAAGAATGTTGAAGAAAACGTAATTTTTTTCGAGGTAGTCTGAAATTTTTACTTATAACTTTTTACGTTGTGAACCGATTTTTCTGATTTTCAATACCAAACTGCCTTAGGATAATAATAAATATTTTGGGTGAATTTGGTTGATTTCCTTTGCTTAGTTTTAATGTGAGCGTGTTTTACACAGACAGACGGACATAGCTATATCGACTCAGAATTTGATAAGGACCCAGAGTATATAGTATATACTTTGTTGGGTCTTAGATGAATATTTCTTGGTGTTACACACGGAACGACTAACTTATATATACCCACCACTGATGGTGGTGGAGGGTATAAAAATTGGTTGAAAATTATAAAAGTTATGGAAAATTCCCCAGGGAATTATCGAGTTTCATAGCATGATCATTTAAACCTGTTCTCAGCTAGATCGATTTAGAACTTAAAAAATTTACATTAGACCGGCTCACTCTGTATGGAAAGCAAAAACGTGTTTTTGTTACCCCTCTCAAAATTTACCTTAATTTGTTTTATGATGATTCTCAAAATATTTTAAGTCTAAAGATGACCGTTTGTGAGCTGGACCAAATTTAAAATAGGTATTTTTAAATTATTATTTTTAAATTTTAGTTTTGTTTTGAAACAATATATTCAATATGGGTTATCGTTTGGAAGGAGTTTTAAAGCCGCCTCCAATGATGTATTAATCATAAATAACCGTCTGCTCATAATTGTCATATTCAAAAAAATTTAAAATAGTTAAGTTTTTTATTAATATCAATAAAACAAGAAAGTATAGTCGGGCGTGACCGACCATATGATACCCTACACCAGTTATGAATATTAAATGTGATTTAGTTTTCATAAAACAGTATTTATCTTCAAAATAACCTTGTTTCCGATACATTTAAGCAATTTATGGACGAAAAACTCATTTTCAGAAAGGGGGTTTTATATGGGGGCAAGGGATACAATTTTGCGATTGGATTTATATTAATATAATATTTGTGCTGAAATTCAACGCGATATTGGTGTTTATATGTGAATTTTAGACAATCAAGTAATTTTCTTAAGGAGACTTTGTATGGAAGCTAGGGTCAAATGAGGCCCGATCTTTATGAAATTTGGCAAGGTCATCAAGAATTGTATAGAACTTATTTGTGCCACTTTTTATCGAGATATAGGTACATTTAACATAATTATGAGCTCAAAGGCCCTTTTCGGGGCATAAATCTAGCGTTCTAATCCAGCTGATTTTAAAAATTTGTTTGTACCAAATGATAGTACTTTTCCTTGTGACTTCAACAAAGGACAACAAATTATCCGTTCTATTAGGGTCCGGGAGTTATGGGCCTCCAAAGTTTTGATATATAATTTAATATATCTGGATTACTGATTAACCGATATGGTCGAAATGGGTATCATTGGAAAGGTCTATGAAAGAGGTTTCTATTGATGTATAAAATGACATACCATTAACCCTTTGAGAGCCATGGTCAAATTTTATGTTTTTTTATTTCGACTTTTTTTACAAATGTACCGTTATCTCATAAATATATCGATATAAGGGTACCTCATCGCACATAATTTTGTAGACTTGGGGCTTTCGGATGATATATGTTTGAAAGCTGTAACCCATAAATTGCAAGAGTTATGTAAGTTTAAAAATTAATATTTTTATCAGTAATCGAGATATATTCAATTATATATCAAAACTTTGGAGGACCATAACTCCCGGACCCTAAAAACAAAATAAAGTAGCAAATAACACAAACAACGCACATATGAATATAAGAAACAAACTACAAAAAGTTATATTATTAAAAAAATAACAACATTAATGAGTATATACTTTAATGAGAGTGATGAGAGGGTCTCTCAAATTTATACATTTTACATTTGTTACTTCTCACAATTCATATACGCGAATTGTATCTAAATAAAAAAATAAATGTTTACATTTAAGAATGCTTAAAATGAAAACAATTCTTAGCTACTCATTTTGCAAAAGTGAGCATACAACAAAAAGTTTGAAAAGTACACTCGTGTCAATTTATCATAAATAAATTTATGTGTTCATACATGAATTTTTCTGAACCCTGGTTAATATATATGTACACGAAACTTATTTGTGTCGATTTTTATCAAAATGTCTTTATTTGATCATGAAATATGTGCGTTTAAGTGATTTTTTGAAGTGGACCGTATGTAGGAGTTATTTCAAAATATAGACCGATCCGGAAAGAATTTTGTAGAATTATTTATATGCTCACAAAACATATTGAAGTCGTACTTTATCCCGAT